CTACTGGGGATGTGCCCGCAACCAAGGTACATGCCCTTGACCGCAATTGAACCTGGGACCTTTCAGTCCACAGGCCGAGGCTCTATCCACTGAGCCAAACTGGTTAAGGCCACATGGCTGTCTTTAATTCTTGCCTTTGTTGCACTAGCTAGAGCCTCCATGGGGAGTAGAATTGGTAGGAGTAGAATGTGAGCTACAGAATTTTTGTAGCTCCCCTGGATCAGGCTGAGGAAGTTTTCTTCTCGTGCTAGTTTTCGGGAGTTCTTACAGTGGATGAGCGTCGGACTTGGTCACATGCTATTTTTCTGTGTATGTTGAGATGACCATGTGGTTTTTGTTCTTTATTCTGTCAGTATGTGGTATATTTTGTTAGTTACGTTTTAGATGTTAAGCCAACCTTTCATTCCTGGGGTTACTCCGTCTCGATCCAGGCAGAACAATTTTGGGTGACAGGTGCTTAAATTCCTTAATGAACTTTATGTGCCCAAGTTTCCCTAATATTAAATTTATATCATTCGGATTGTTCTTGTCAGAGGACTGTAGTCTTGTTTATTGTTGTTACCATCATTAACTTTTTAATGTAGGGACAGTGAAGATTATTGATGGAAATTATATAACTTTTACCCTTGAGCAGTGACAGCTCTAACACTGCCACTAATTATTTTTTTACCTATGAACTTTATTTTCCCAAGAAATTGCAGCTTATTAAAAGAATTGATTGCGTTTTCTTCGTATTTCGCACAATAACTATGTTTGTGTATGTACTAATTGCACGATACACTAAAATTTTGAGAACTCTGGAAGCCGTCTCAAAGTTGGAAACCTTTATGCAGAGTAGACTGATGAAGTGATCCATTAGTTTTCCTCTCTCTTATACTCAAGAGCTAATACTGATAAAGTTTATCTGTCCTTATAGGGAAGATTTTCCCATTTTATCTTAAAAGAAATTTTTGTTGCAAAAACGCCTTTTTCTTTGTGTGTAACCAAGTAACACTGGACTGTTTCGCCCCCAGGTTTGAGTTCTGGGAAGATTTCGAGGAGGACCACGGGAAAGGGCGGGAGAACGGCTACCAGAGCCTCCACAAGGTGCTGGAGCCGTTCCTCCTGCGGAGGGTCAAGAAGGACGTGGAGAAGTCCCTGCCCGCCAAAGTGGAGCAGATCCTCAGGGTGGAGATGTCGGCCCTTCAGAAACAGTATTACAAGTGCGTTACCGCTGCGGGGGCGCCGGAGTGGGAGTAAGACAGTGCCCTGAAGCCAGGAGACGAGCAGTAGACAAATCCACTGTGTCTCTCAGGCCCCAGCACAAATTTAAGTAGCAGTTTGTTTATTTATGGTCAGAGGAACTTTTATTATCCTCGCTTTTTTAAAAGGACATTTTTATTGATTTCAGAGAGGAAGGGAGAGGGAGAGGTAGAAACATTAATGATGAGGATCATGCATCGGCTGCCTCCTGCACGCCCCACAATGGGGATCGAGCCCACAACCTCGGCATGTGCCCTGACTGGGAGTTGAACTTCAATAGTTACCAACTCATGGCCAATCTACTTCAGCCAGAACTTCTTTTGTATCCCTATTCCCACCTATGTATCATTGGAAGCATATCCCAGGTACATAACATACGTGTTTCTACATGTCTAAAAGCAAAAATAAAATCCCAAAATAAAATTTAAAAAATCACCTCAAGCTCATAGGTACAGAGAACACGTGTGGGGTGGACAGAGGGTTCAAAAGGTACAGACTTTCAGTTATAAAATAAATAAGTCATGGGGATGTAGTATACAGCATGGTGACTATAGTTACTAAGAGAGTATATTAAAAGGGGAAAAATTGTAACTATATGGTGATGGATGTTAACTAGACGTGATTATTTCACAATATACACAATACTGAATCATAATGGATACACTTGAAACTAATATAATGTTATATGTCAGTTATACCTCAATTAAAAAAAGAGTTAAGCATAACATCAATACTGTTATGCCTAACAAATTAATAATTCCTTAATATTTTTTTAATGTCTAATGAGTGTTTACAGTTTCTTGGATGTAATAAATATGCGTGTGTGTGCGCGCGCGCACACACACACACACACTCTCACACTTTGCTATTTTGCATTGGGATCTAAGCTCCATACATTGTGACTGGTTGGCATGTCCCTTATGTTTATTTTAATCCATCTCCCTCCTCCTCCCCCCATCCCCCATCCTTGTAAATTCTTTGAATGAAGAAGTTGAGTCTGTTGCATAGATTTTCCTCACAGCCTGGATTTTTGCTGATCCCAGCTCTATGGCATCATTTAATATTTTACTCCGGACGCTTTGTTTCCTGTGCATTCACAGACGAGTGTAGAGGGTTCGTTAGACTCAGACTCAATGTCAGGTTTTCATCGAAGACCCCAGCTCTTTGTTTGAATCACTTAACAACATCATCGTCTATAACTTGCAGGTGGATCCTGACCAGGAATTACAAGGCTCTCGCCAAAGGCACAAGGGGCAGCACGTCCGGCTTCCTGAACATTGTGATGGAACTGAAGAAATGCTGCAACCACTGCTACCTGATTAAGCCCCCTGAGGAGAACGAGAGGGAGAACGGGCAGGAGATCCTTCTGGTGCGTGCTTGCCTTGTTCGTCACGACTTTCTCAGCGACAGTTTAGTTTCTGCAGGTGCTATCGTAAGAAGCTTTAAGCCGCAGCCGGTTTGGCTCAGTGGATAGAGCGTCAGTCTGCAGACTGAAGGGTCCCGGGTTCGATTCCGGTCAAGAGCACGTACCTTGGTTGCAGGCTTCATCCCCACCCTGGTCGCGGTGCTTGGGGGAGGCAGCCAATGGATGTGTCTCTCTCACATCGACGTTTCTGTCCCTCTCCCCCTCCCTTCCACACTCTCTAAAAATCGATGGAAAAATATCCTTGGGTGCGAATTAACAACAACAAAAGCTACTAGGGAAAAATCTGAAAGTATTGTTATCGATAACAGATAAAGAGCATTTCAGGAATTGCTCGTCAGCCGGGTGGCAGAAGCCTTCAGAAAGCCGAACTGTGATTTTAAACATTTGAACTCGTAGAGCCTGAGGGCACATGGACGTGTCTTGAACATTGGGATGTCTTCTCCATTTCCAGTCCCTGATCAGGAGCAGCGGGAAGCTGATCCTGTTGGATAAGCTGTTGACCAGACTGAGAGAAAGGGGGAACCGCGTCCTCATCTTCTCCCAGATGGTGCGGATGCTGGACATCCTGGCGGAGTACCTGACCATCAAGCACTACCCTTTCCAGGTAAGGAGGCCCTCCTCCCCCCTTCCTCTGGGTTGTGTGTTTGGTTTGCTAAATTACCCTAAAGTAGGAAACCGGGGGTTAAGGTTCCAGGGGTTAAGCTTCCAGGGTGGCCTTAATTTTTACTTCCATGCCTTCAGGCTAACCCTCTAATGAAGATGGTCAAGGTGGGGTCATTCTTTTCCAGGGACCAAGGGGTGGGGATTAGAGAAAGGAAAACTGGGCAAGAGAAAAGTCTCTTGTTTATCTCAAGTGGTGATTGTGAGGGAAGAAATACGAAAAACGATTTAAAGGAGTGAGAAGTGCTTTAATTAGCAGGTAATTAGCCTTCGCTTTTTATTTCACATATATGGCTTCTCTGTGGTGACATTTTTTGATGTAGAGCTGACATACAAAGCATTGGCTGTTTTAGTAAAGGCTTGAAGACCCACTGTGGCTGCTTGAACTTTGCTCTGAGTGTAGAGTGCAATTTTTGGAAAAGCTGGGGTATATGACCAGCTTCATATTTAACATGATCAATATTATGGCAGAGCGTTTTCCAAACAAAATGATGAAAATCATTTTGTGGCTTGTGTAGCACTTAATGACTGGGCAATTTGCCCTGGCCAGTTTGCTCAGTGGTTGGAGCATTGGCCGAGGACTGAAGGGTCCCAGGTTCAATTCTGGTCAAGGGAGCACACCTGAGTTGCAGGCTCAATCCCAGCCCTGGTTGGGTCGCGTGCGGGAGGCAGCCAATCGATGTGCCTCTCTCACATTGATGTCTCTCTCTCTGTCTCTCCCTCTCCCTTCCACTCTCTCTTAAGAAATCAATCTAAAAAAAAAATCCTCAGATGAGGATTAACCAAAAAAGAAAGGAAAATAACTGGGCGACTTTATATTAGTCAAGAAGCATCATTTTCCGGCAGGAGCTGATTATTAGGTGTGACCAGGGGTAGTATTTCCCTGTCTCCTCAGTACCCAGATGTGGAAGCAGACAAAGCCTCGAAGCCCAGCGTGGGTTGCCTTTTCCTTATAGGTCCTGGCAGCCATGCTGATTCTGGGATAAACCCAGATAGCCCTTTGATTCAGAACCTTCTGACCTTGAGTTTGTAACCAGAGAGCTTGGGGCAAGTGGAGTGTGCCGCTTAAGCGCAGCCCCGCCAGCACATCGCCAGTGCATTCCAGCTATTTTTACCCGGCGGGTGTCGCATCCATAAAGGTTGCGAGTCTGGTGTCTGTTCCCATTGCGGCTGATCATCCTGCCTTATGACTTCCTTGTGGCTTGTCTTTACAGCGTCTGGATGGTTCCATCAAGGGAGAGATCCGGAAGCAGGCGCTGGACCACTTCAACGCCGATGGTTCTGAGGTACACGGGGCACGGCTTTGTGATCGGGGCAGCTTGGGCTGGGGATCTAGGGCAGAGCCTTTCTGGGTGAATATGTTCTGTTTCAGGAACAGTTCCCGGTGCGAGAACTCCCTTAAGTGAAAGGTGTCTTTGCGTCTCATGATCAGTCCAGGAGACCTTTTGCATGCTCTCTATCCCCCCTGGTGTGGACTAATGACAGGCGTCCTGATGTCACCGAAGTTTTCTCTAGTGACTTGCAGATACCAAGTTTCTGGGTCTAGGAGAGCAGCCAGGCAAAGTGGGCAGGGCTGGCCAGTAGGGTCATATTGGGATACTAGGGCCCGATGCACGAAATTCATGCAAGAGCAGGCCTGCCTTCCCCCGGCTGCCGGCACCCACTTCCCTCTGGCACCCAGGACCTGGGCTTCCCTGCGGCTGCCGGCAGGCACCCGGGACCTGGGATCCGGGTTTCCCTTGCAGTCCCAACTTCGTCCGTCCGGAAGGACGTCCAGTCTAATTAGCATATTACACTTTATTACTGGGATATATGTTAATATCATAAGGTTCTCATCTGCACTTCCTTGGTGACTTCCAGTCTTGAAAAGTACATTTGCCGTGTCTCAAATTAGTTGGACCCTGCTGCAGTGTGGCTTACTGTCTTTGTTTTTGTTTTTTTCTAGGAGAGCAGCCAGGCAAAGTGGGCAGGGCTGGCCAATAGGGTCATATTGGGATACTAGGGCTCGATGCACAAAATTCATGCAAGAGCAGGCCTGCCTTTTCCCGGCTGCCGGCACCGCTTCCCTCTGGCACCCGGGACCTGGGCTTTCCTGCGGCCACCGGCAGGCCCCTGGGACCTGGGATCCGGGTTTCCCTTGCAGCCCCGACTTCATCCGGAAGGACGTCCGGTCTAATTAGCATATTACACTTTATTATTGGGATATATGTTAATATCATAAGGTTTTGATCTGCACTTTCTTGGTGACTTCCAGTCTTAAAAAGTACATTTGCCGTGTCTCAAATTAGTTGAACCCTGCTGCAGTGTGGCTTACTGTTTTTGTTTTTGTTTTTTTAATGTATTTTTATGGATTTCAGAGAGGAAGGGAGAGGGAGAGACAGAAACATCAATGATGAGAGAGAATCATTGATCGGCTGCCTCCTGCACTCCACGCCCCCTCCTGGGGATTGAGCCCGCAACCCACACAGGTGCCCTTGACCGGAATCAAACCCGGGACCCTTCAGTCCGCAGGCCAGCGCTCTATCCACTGAGCCAAACCGGCTAGGGCTGAATTACTGTTTTTACTTTGGCTGACAGCAGCATTTAGTTAAGTGTCCAGCTAGAAGGTGGCATTATAGAGTATTGCTCTTTTCACACATGCAGAAGAGCCACCTAAGACAATTCATATTATCTTTAGTAAAGCCTGACGTGGAAAATGGCTTAGTGATCAGTCAGACCCCAGACTTTACATTGCAGGTTTCTCCTCCTAAAGTGTCCTGTCTACCTAGATCAGTGGTTCTCAACCTGTGGGTCGCGACCCCTTTGGTGGTCGAATGACCCTTTCACAGGGGTCGCCTAAGACCATCCTGCATATCGGATATTTACATGACGATTCATAACAGTAGCAACATTACAGTTGTGAAGTAGCAACGAAAATAATTTTATGGTTGGGTCACAACATGAGGAACTGTATTTAAAGGGCCAGAAGGTTGAGAACCACTGCCCTCCTGCCTGTGCTTTTCTGAGCCCTGGGACGCAGGCAGGTGTCTCGGGTGTCAGTGCTGTGGAAGCTGGAGTGTCAGGGCCGGGGTCTTCCCCACACACGCCCTCCAGCCACACCTGCTCTGGTTTTCTCGTGGAGGTCAAGGCTACTGTGCCTCTCCAGGTCCCTCACGGGCTCTGCGTGAGTGTTTTTTTCCTCACCCGCCTAACAAATGGAGGGGCACATACAGAACACAGTTTCCCTGTTCATCCCGACTGCCTTACGTGCATTATCCACATTTCCTCGGAAAACCAGTAGCTGGGCCACTTGGTGGAACGCGTTCGTCCCCTTGAAAATGAAGTGTGCGTGGGTTTCGCTGTTGCTTGTCTGCGAGGCTCAGCCAGGTGGGAGCACGAACTCTCTTGCTGCTGTTGCTCCTTAGTTCATTGCAGCTCTGGTTTTCTCGTGGAGGTCAAGGCTACTGTGCCTCTCCAGGTCCCTCACGGGCTCTGCGTGAGTGTTTTTTTCCTCACCTGCCTAACAACTGGAAGGGCACATACAGAACACAGTTTCCCTGTTCATCCCGACTGCCTTACTTGCATCATCTGCCTTCCCCTGGAAAACCAGTAGCTGGGCCACTTGGTGGAACGCGTTCATCCCCTTGAAAATGAAGTGTGCGTGGGTTTCGCTATTGCTTGTCTGCGAGGCTCAGCCAGGTGGGAGCCCGAACTCTCTTGCTACTGTTGCTCCTTAGTTCATTGCCCCGACTCCTCCCTCGTGAGCGAATGAAAATCCACTCTGCCACCAAGCCCCTGACATTCGTTAGCCTCCATGAAGTTTGTCCGTCGTGTCTCACTTTCCTTCGCACCTGCAGGGGTGTCGGGGTGTCGGGGCTTGTTGGACGGGAAACGGTTTGAGAAGGCCCCTGCCTAAAGGCGTGTGTTGCGTTGTGTGCAGGACTTCTGTTTCCTGCTCTCCACAAGGGCTGGTGGCCTGGGAATCAACTTGGCTTCCGCGGACACAGTGGTCATCTTCGACTCCGACTGGAACCCCCAGAACGACTTGCAGGCACAGGCCCGAGCCCATAGGATTGGGCAGAAGAAGCAGGTCAGTGGGAGGGGCTTCGGGTGTGGCGTGAGGGAGCCGGGGAGGGGTTTTTGGGCCTTCCGGGATGTTTTGTGAAAGGCTTTTTCCTGTTTAGCTTCCTTTCCCAAGGGGAGGTGTCTGTCTGTTAATTAGTGCAGAGAAACCGTCTCTGGGGCTGAGATGAGCCTATAAAGGAACTGCTCTCTTTCTCTGTCTAAAAAGTGCATCACCAGTGACTTTCTAGTTTATCCTAAAAAAGATATATGATAAAAAGACCTAGAACGGAACATTTTCTCCTCTGTTACTATGGAAAAGTTGGTGTAAATATTCTTTTCTCTGTCTAAAAAGTGCATCACCAGTGACTTTCTAGTTTATCCTAAAAAAGATATATGATAAAAAGACCTAGAACGGAACATTTTCTCCTCTGTTACTATGGAAAAGTTGGTGGTAAATATTCTAACATTGTTCAAGGTGGTCTATTCTGGGGATGTGCCCGCAACCAAGGTACATGCCCTTGACCAGAATCGAACCTGGGACCCTTCAGTTCTCGGGCCGACGCTCTATCCACTGAGCCAATCCGGTTAGGGCGCTAATTTCTTTTTAAAGTATGATACTTTGTAAAACACGGTGGAATATGAAGCGAGAATTCTCCTGATCCGTCCATAATGTGTTAATTACACATGACCAATCTTCCCTTTCTTGGGGGGAAATACACACTTATTTCCTTTGTAAATGTTAAAGGCACGCTTTAACATTAAATACCCATTGCATTTTGAAGTTTTTTATTACATGTTCTTATAAGTTGATATCTTTTTAAAGTATGATACTTTGTGAAACACTGTGTAATATGAAGCGAGAATTCTCTTGATGTGTTAATTACACATGACCAAGCTTTTCTTTGTTGGGGGAAATACACGCTTACTTCCTTTGTATGGGAATCTCAGAGTCGGTTCTAATAGAGGATAACTCACAAGTTTCATACTCGGCCAAAGACCCAGTTTTGCTGAAATGGACTATTCTTTAGTAAGATTTTTATTAGTAGAACAAGGCCGTGTTCAAAGTCCTTAACGGCAGTTACATTTAAGAATGCAACCTGCTGCAGGTGGTAAAAACACGGCATCTGCTTAGGTCTGTGTGGATGGAGGGCTTATAGCTTATAGTCCTTTATGGTGCTACAGGCCAGGCATTTTTCATTTCCCCTCCTGGTTTTAGACGGAGGTGACCTTTTTTTGTGTGTGTGATCGGGCGTAAGCACAACGTTTCCTTTTCCCACAGGTAAATATTTACCGCTTGGTGACAAAGGGGACCGTGGAGGAAGAGATCATAGAACGGGCCAAAAAGAAGATGGTATTGGACCACCTGGTGATCCAGCGCATGGACACCACTGGCCGGACGGTCCTGGAAAACAACTCAGGGCGGTCCAAGTGAGTGCCCGGGCTGGGAGAGGCCAACTGGCCCAATCCACACTCGGTGGGATCCACTCTTCCGGTTGGATTTTGTACAACAGACATTAGGCCTTTTATTGCTGGGAAAACAGGCCTCGCTAAGGCTGCAAGAAGATAGCGTTTCCTTTTCTTTATTTTTTTCCTATTTTTTCTTTCGCTTTACTTATTAGCCCTGTGCTCATGAGTGCATTCTCTCCCCCACCCACCATTCATTCTTTCTCCCTCTCTCTCTCCCTCCCTCCCTCCCTCTCTCTCTCTCTCTCTCTCTCTCTCTCTCTCTCTGTCTGTCTCACTATCTCCAGCCCCTCTCTTTTTCTTTCATTTAAAAAATGTTCATTGTTGAGAGTATTGCAGGTGTGTCCCCTTTTATCCCGTTGCCCTGCCCCTCCCTTGCCTGTGGGTTTGGCTCTCAGTGTGACATATGACACTTAGGCGTCCACCCTGACACAGAGTTGCCTTGAACTCTTCCCAGTGAGAATCCACCCGATCAAATGGGCTGCTCTTCTCTTACTATTAGTAGAAATGTTTGTGTGGGGATTTGGGATTTTTCCTGTTGAAACAGAGGAAGGCAGTTACGTTTTGATGGGATTGATTGGGAAGCACAACTATTTCTCTGAAAGAATGGACATTTTGACCAAATCGTCCAGTGTGTTCTGTGGTGGTCTTGTAGCTTTGTGACAGGTGGGATCAGCCGAGCCCTTCCCAAATAGGGTGTTTTCAGATAATTTTCCGTTAGAGAGCAACCTGGGTAGAAGCAGCGTGGTTCTTTCATATTGGACCACAGGCAAATGGTAACTTTCTGAGTCAAAGGACAGAGGAGAGAACTGTCTTCTTTCATATTGCTAATTACCCGTCTCGCCCAACCACGTGGTAGATGAGCCAACAGGAAAAGGATTGATGTCCTAGTCTTCTGCTGGCTTAGGTTTGCCACCGTGGTCCCATCCTGTGGATAAAAACATGAAATGTTTGAGAGATCATTTTTCTTGGGGCAGAATTTACATTTTCACCGGTAATTGGGCCCCTGAATGAAGGGTAGATCTGTAACAGAGCTTACTTGACATTCCTGAGAGATTACAACCGCATTTTACTTTTACAGTTCAAATCCTTTTAATAAAGAAGAGCTGACAGCTATTTTGAAATTCGGAGCAGAGGATCTTTTCAAAGAACTTGAAGGCGAGGAGTCAGAGCCCCAGGTAATTAACAAGGAGGGAAGGCGTTTCTGACAAGTGTCATTTGTGAGATACATTGGGAAGCAGATTCTGAGCCTGTTACAGGCTTCTATTAAGCGGCAGTAATTACTTAAAGGACGTAGGGGTTTTTGTCTTTTTTTCTAATAAAGTTCAAAGCTCTTACTGAATAGGAAAGAATGAGAAAAAAGCATTTGAGGATTCTGTCTTTTGTCTTTCTTACTCCTATTTCATTTCTTGTAATTTCTGAAGTTTCACCTTCTTTGTATAAGTAATAGTTTGAATCGTTAAATGTAAACAATGTAAAGTTGAGACTACAAAAGAAAATTAAAAATGGGATACCAGAAAAGAGAGCTGGTTTGTTGGCACCAAACATTGTCAGCGCGTGCAGACCTTGCTGTTGCCTTCTTACCATACTTGTGTTGCTGTTCTTCTCCTAGGAAATGGATATTGATGAAATTCTGCGCTTGGCTGAAACCAGAGAGAACGAAGTGTCAACAAGTGCGACTGATGAGCTCCTGTCACAATTTAAGGTATAAACATCCTCGAGGGAGAAAGCCCTTAGCGTTGATTCACGATCCGGTAATAACTAATGCCTGATAGCGCTTTCTGGGTACCAGGCGCTCTGCTTAGCCCTCTGAGTAAGTTGACTCATGGCCTCAGTGTCATTCTCTAGAGTTTTCCAAGGATGTTCTGAGTGCAGAATCTATAGATAGTCCTCCCACGGACTATAGGTAACCACGGACGTGGGCCATCCTGCCCTGAGTCAGTGGGTGGAGGAAGGAAGTCTGCGAGGAGGACTGAGGATATGATGTCAGCGGGATAGGTGGTGACCCAGTTGGCTCTGGGGGGTGTTGGAGGGCTTGTGGGAGAGACATTAACATAATAGAATCAGATGACAAAGCGGTCAAAGGTGTAAAAACAGAAGGTGACAGGAAGCCCTTGATGACTTAGTGCGATTTTTTTTTAAGGGTGATTACAGGGTGGTCAGTGGTATCTGATACAATACAAAATTAAATGAGATCAGGACTAAATGCAGGAGCTGGGCACCAGCATTGAGTTACAAAAAGCTAGTGAATTATAGAGAGAAGGTGCCCAGCTGGCATGGCTCAGTGGTTGAGTGTCGACTTATGAACCAGGAGGTCACGGTTCAATTCCTGGTCAGGGCACATGCCCTGGTTACAGGCTCAATCCCCAGTAGGGGGCGTGCAGGAGGCAGCCGATCGATGGTTCTCTCTCATCATTGATGTTTCTCTCTCTCTTTCCCTCCCCCTTCCTCTCTGAAATCGGTAAAAATATATTTTTTAAAAAGAGTAGAGAGAAGGTAATTTATGTGACAAAAGAGTCTAGCAAGGCCACGTTTTTTGTTTTGTTTTTTAAGATGTTACCATGTTCTGGGTTTCAGAAGGTATTTGAGAATAGGGAGCTATTGCAGGTGCAGAGGAATGAAGGAACGTTTGAGGGCCCATCCGTTGCCTCAGGGGAGACTGGAAGGGACATCACCAAAAGCACAGCTGGAGGAGCTGCCTTTGAAGGAGAAGGGAAAACACACTTTAGGGAGAGATGTGGAGTTCCAACTGGTGACCTTCATGACCAGTGAAATAAATGAGGTGTTTGCTGAGAAATGGAAAAGATTCGCTACAGCCCTGGGTGGGGCTGGGGCTTGCCGGGAGGAACTTGATAGGGAGTAGAGCTGAATTTAGAAAATACGGCTTTGGCTTCGCTTTGGAGCCAGTCAGCAGGGTCATATGAGACTCTCCTGCAATCCGTGAGGTCAGAGAAACTGGATCAGCTGGTAATCCCAAGGTGAGACTGGCCCACGAGGCGTGGGAGGGTCAGAGAGGCAAAGGCTTCCCAGTTGCAAATGAGGCCCGGCCGGTGTCGCTCAGTGGTGGAGCGTCGACCTATGAACCAGGAGGTCAGGGTTTGGTTCCCAGGCAGGGCACATGCCCGGGTTGTGGGCTCGATCCCCAGTGGGGGGCATGCAGGAGGCAGCTGATCAGTGATTCTCTCTCATCCTTGATGTTTCTATCTCTCTACCCCTTCCTCTCTGAAAATCAATTACAAAAAAAAAAAAAAAGAGGGTCTGGTTGAAAAGATTGATCATGGGTTGGTTTGATGCAGGTTAGAGAAGCAGGTTACAGCGGTGGTTAAGTGTGGTAGAGTCTACCGTTAGGGTGGAGGGAGAACTGGGTGAAGCGTTTGGAAGGAAGCAGGATGGAATGAGGTCAAGGTTGGCCACAGGTAGAGTTGTCTCAGTGCAAGAGCTGGGAAGGAGCTGAGAATGGGTCAGAGAGCTCTCCTGTCAGGTGTCATGGGTCTGAGGTTGGAGGGGAATTAGTAGTGTGTCCCCTGGATCCCACCTCTGTGACTGCTGCTCCGTTCTTAAGCAGAAGTCATCTTCAAGACCCTGTCCTGGTCAGAATATTATGAGCATTAAGTCACATTACTGGTGACTCTGGCCTTTCTAAGGCCCTTTTTAAAAAAATTGAATTTATTGGGGTGACGACATTGGTTAATAAAGTTATATAAGTTCGAGGTGTATAATTCTATAATATATCTCATATATATATATATATATATATATTAACACATTGTGGATGGATGATCACGAGAATTCTCGCTTCATATTACACAGTGTTTTACAAAGTATCATACTATAAAAAGATATTAGCTAGTGAGAACATGTAATTAAATAACTTCAAATGCAATGGGTATTTAATGTTAAAGCGTGCCTTTAACATTTATGTAAAACGTTTTTTTGTACTCGTTCAATAGAAACTTATCTGGCCACTGGGTAAAGCTAGCAATAAAACTGCTGGTCCGCAAAGTGTCAACATATATTTCAGTTAAACTTATAAGACACTTTATATCTTTATATCTGCTTCCCTCCTTTTCAGTAAAATTTCTGATGAACTTGGGGATGTGGCAAATTGATTTCTGGGGGGGAAGGGAGAGATTAGTAGAAAATCGATTCTTTGCTTATGTAATATCACAGGACTCCCTTATTAGTCATAGCATCGTACTTAGATTAAAAACACTGTGAGTTGAGGTTTTAGTGGATGTTCTTTGGGAAATAGAGGAATTTCAGTTGTCTGTCTGTTGACATTTCAGGTTGCCAATTTCGCCACCATGGAAGACGAGGAAGAGCTGGAAGAGCGTCCCCACAGGGACTGGGACGAGATCATTCCCGAGGATCAAAGGAAGCGCGTGGAGGAGGAGGAGCGGCAGAAGGAGCTGGAAGAAATTTACATGCTGCCTCGAATTCGGAGTTCCACGAAAAAGGTAACCAAGGGAGACGGAAGAGAGGAACCTCCTTCTCAGGCTCTGACGCTGCAGGAGTGCCCAGTGTTCAAGGAAGGGGCCTTGCATTGCTGCCCGACCTGCGGGCTCCAGGGCAGAGTCTCGGGAAACCCAGCAGAGGAACAGGGAAGTGCCTGGGGCTCCTGGCTCACCTGGGAGGCACTTCGCCTCTGCTCATGGGCTGTGTGAGATGGCTGAGCAGGAGATTGTAGAACCATTCTTCGCCACAGGCACTATCATATTTGACTTTTGCAAAACATTACCACCCAGTTTGTTGGAGATAATAGACTGGAGTTTGTCCAAGATCTTAGTAAATCATAAATCAGTAGCAGCTAATGGTAGCTACTATTTGCTGAGGACTCACAGGCATCAGCTAGTGCATTTAAACGTATTGACTCATTTAATCCTTTGAGACTCCTGATTAAAGGGGCTGATATCCCCATTTTACAAATAGCACACGAAGTCCAAGGAAGTGAACACAAACTTACCATTCCAACACTTGCATTCCATTTTCCTTATTAGAATCCACACTTCTCTGGAGGTGTGATTATCCCTGTCGGGTCTCCCTTCGTTACCTGACACCTGTCTCCTTATTTCCCCCCAAAAAACGGACTTGTCTGATGGGACGGCCAGTTCCGAGTCCCACCGAACGGGGCCGGGCTGGCCTTGGTCCTTAGGCCTCTGGCACCTGGCCCTGGTCACAGTGTGCCTTTGCCGTTTCAGGCGCAGACCAATGACAGCGACTCCGACACCGAGTCCAAGAGGCAGGCCCAGAGGTCCTCTGCCTCGGAGAGCGAGACCGATGACTCCGACGACGACAAGAAGCCGAAGCGCCGGGGGCGCCCCCGGAGCGTGCGGAAGGACCTCGTGGAGGGGTTCACGGACGCGGAGATCCGCAGGTGGGTGGGCCCTGCTCCCTGGGCCTTGTGGGGAAGGGATACCGTCAGTTCCGGCAGGGAGCGCGAGAGAGATCGAGTCACACACCCGTCGGAAATGCTCCTCAATCCCGATGTTGTTATTTTTTATATGTAGAGTTTTTGTGCCTTTTAAAAATATATTTTTTTGCCCTGACCTGTTTGGCTCAGTGGATAGAGCGACGGCCTGCAGACTGAAGGGTCCCGGGTTCGATTCCGGTCAAGAACATGTACCTTGGTTGCGGGCACATCCCCAGTGGGGGGTGTGCAGGAGGCAGCTGGTCGATGTTTCTCTCTCATCAATGTTTCTAACTCTCTATCCTTCTCCCTTCCTCTCTGTAAAAAATCAATAAAAAATAAAAAAAGTAAAAATATATTTTTATTGATTTCAGAGAGGAAGGGAGAGGGGAGAGAGAGATGGAAGCATCAATGATGAGAGAGAATCATTGATCAGCTGCCTCCTGCACGCCCCTCACTGGGGATCGAGCCCACAACTCGGGCATGTGCCCTTGACCAGAATCGATCCCGGGACTCTGCAGTCTACAGGCTGACACTCTATCCACTGAGCCAAACCAGCTAGGGCGTCTGGATATTATTTTGAGGTAAAACCCTAGTGTCTTACTATTTCAGGTGTGAAATGCCTCCGTGTATATCATGGAGACATGGAGAGCTGAGGAAGAATCCCAGGTTCACGTTCACATGTAGCACTCCCCTAACCCTTGTATCCAGGCTGTTCCTTTCCTAGAGTTTCTCAGCTGTTGTCACTTTCATTCCCCTTCTCTTGTCACCGTGCCCTCCACCCAGTTTTTTCTCCCATAGGATCTCTCCCAGCGGTTCTCAACCTTCCTAAGGCCGCGACCCTTTCATACAGTTCCTCATGTTGTGGTGACCCCCAACCATAAAATTATTTTCATTTCTACTTCATAACTGTAATTTTGCTACTGTTATGAATCATCATGTAAATATCTGATATGCAGGATGTATTTTCAGGGGTCGCGACCCACAGGTTGAGAACCGCTGCCTTAGACTCTTACCTAAGCAGGTTATTTTAGTGACTGGCATGTCCCAGTGAGGCCCTGGGTTTGTTGTGACGTCTTGCTTTCCATGGGCAGTGCTAGTGGTTGGCGCAGGGAGTGGGAGCAGGTGACACACGGATTGGTGGGCATCGTGGTTTAGGGTGGAGACTGGTAGAAGGTTAGGTTGGATTTTTGGTTGGAGATAAGGTTGGGCGGGAGTCAACACACTTTGCAAAATGGTTTTGCCCAAGAAGCTTGAAATCATAGGTTTATTTTGCTTTGTCGCATTCCCCAAAAATACTCGGGGCAGTCCCAGAAATCGTATAGTTGTGTTATCGGCCAGAAAATGAGGGAAAATCTGGAATTGAAGGTAACAGTAGTGGACTGAACAGACCTGTGAACTGTTTGGCGGTTTTTATGTCCAGAGTTATTGTGGTGATGGGATCACACGTTACACAGACTTGCACATTTAAAAACGGATAACATCGGAGTTACATCGCTGTTCTCCGTTATGTCCCTAAGCAGCTTCCTGAGAATAAAGTTGGTCTTTTCGTTGGAATAGATTTCCAGCACTCAGTCGGAAGTGGGCTGTTGGCAGAGGCATTCAGCATGCAAAGACCTGTTACAAGGATCGGGTCCCGTCTACTTTTGACAGTTTTTACGCGGCTCCTACTTAACACAGATACGTGTTTGCATTCACAGAGCTGAAGTCTCTGTTTTTTTAACGTGTGCTCTTGCTCATCTCCGTAGGTTCATCAAGGCGTATAAGAAGTTTGGTCTCCCTCTTGAACGGTAAGCTTAGCAAAAGTTCCTAAGTTGCCTCTTTTATTACATGGCAGTTTCTTTTTTTGCTACTCTTTCCATGGAAGGTCTGGCGCCTTTTGACAGCCTGACTTGTAAACATGAATGTATTCACATGCTCCGTGTGACTTAGAGTCAACAGAACATATTGTAGAATAACTGTGCTTTGCTGCGGGGAGCATCGTGACAAGGGAAAGTAGCTGGAGAAAGGAGAGTGGACACTAAAGAAGCAGACGAGGGCCGTATTTTTTTTTTAAAGAAGTTTTTTTTTTTTTTTTAAATATATTTTATTGATTTTTTACAGAGAGGAGGGAGAGAGAAGTTTGGTCTCCCTCTTGAACGGTAAGCTTAGCAAAAGTTCCTAAGTTGCCTCTTTTATTACATGGCAGTTTCTTTTTTTGCTACTCTTTCCATGGAAGGTCTGGCGCCTTTTGACAGCCTGACTTGTAAACATTAATGTATTCACATGCTCCGTGTGACTTAGAGTCAACAGAACATATTGTAGAATAACTGTGCTTTGCTGCGGGGAGCATCATGACGAGGGAAAGTAGCTGGAGAAAGGAGAGTGAACACCAAAGAAGCGGACAAGGGCCGTATTGTTTTAATATATTTTTATTGATGTCAGAGAGGAGAGAGATAGAAGCATCAATGATGAGAGAGAATCACTGATCGGCTGCCTCCTGCACGCCCCACACTGAGGATCGAGCCCGCCACCCGGGCATGTGCCCTGACCTTGATCTTCTGGGTCATAGTTTGATGCTCAACCAGAGCCACACCGGCTGGGCCACCATTGTCTTTGAAATTACTTTATGGGCTCTGCCAAGGCACAGTTCTTTCTGATGGGAAACGAGGAACTTGGCCCTCAGTCAGCGTGGCAGGGCTCTTGTCGCTGAAGGAATGTAGGGAAAAGTGTCCTTGCAGGGGCAGGCCTCTCCGAGACCAGTGGTGTTTCATGTGACGGTAGGAAGGTGGGCGCAGGGCCCTGAAGTGTCCCTCGCTGGTCTGTCCCCAGGCTGGAGTGCATAGCGCGCGACGCGGAGCTGGTGGATAAGTCGGTGGCGGACCTGAAGCGCCTGGGCGAGCTGATTCACAACAGCTGTGTGTCAGCCATGCAGGAGTACGAGGAGCAGCTCAAAGAAAACGCCAGCGAGGGTAAGTCCCCGGGCGGCCCCAGCGGTCCTCCCAGGCCCGGCACCTGCCGCCCGCACCGGGGTTCCTGCTGCTCCAGGGCTTGGCTTAGAAGAGGACTCAGGGTCGGATGATGACTTGAGTCATTCCGCACACGTGAAGCCCTTAGCTGCGTGTCTGGCCTGCGGTGTTCGCTCCTATCGTTAATAAAGAAGTATTTGTGCTCTGGGATTTCCTTTTCAAGGATGTTACTAAAGTAATAAAATTTTAAAAATATCTTAAATAGAGTTAAGTGTTTCCGGATGTGATTTCTTTTGTGTGTGTGTGTGTGTGTGTGTGTGTGTGTAACTTCAGTACCTTGAGTGACTTGGACAGTGATCCAAATGTGTGCTGCCTTAGCACCCAGAATACATCTCAAAGTAAACCTTAAACCCAGCGTTTCTCTCTACTCCCAGAATATAAAGGGGACTCACTGAACCCTCCCCCGCCCCACCCTTGTACCTTTGTGCTTTCATAGGTGTTTTATATTTGTGGTACAGTTGGAGGTTGTTTTTTTTTAATATTTCTGATACCCGTGGAGTTTTTCCTAGTCTACCCAGTTTTATTTTTCCTGTGTGGCTACTTTATGTCTCAGCACCATTCATTAAAATGGTTTGTTTTTTCTCCACTGCCTGATTTTCTTCGTTTTTTTTTAAAAAACTTCATAATGTGATGGATATAGTAGTATTAGTGCCTGTAAGTGGACATTCGCTTTCCAGTCTGTTGCTCTACAGCGCTGTGGTAAATGATCCTGCGTATGTACCCCAGGGGTCCTCAAACTACGGCCCGCGGGCCACATGCGGCCCGCCGAAAACATTTGTTTTTTTACTTCAAAATAAGATATGTGCAGTGTGCATAGGAATTTGTTCATCGTTTTTTTTTTAAACTATAGTCCGGCCCTCCAACGGTCTGAGGGGCAGTGAACTGGCCCCCTGTTTAAAAAGTTTGAGGACCCCTGATGTACCCCATTTCGCACCATCCCGTCCAACCAGCATTGAATGAGCATCTCTGTTTTCTCTGAGTCTCATCAACATAATATTTTCAATTTTTTCTTTTTCCCCCCGACCCGATAGGGTAAAAGTGGCATGTGTACATGTGTTTAATTTGCATTTCTATTATCACGAGTGAGGTGGAGTATTTTACGTACGTTTAGGAGCCTCTTGAATTTCCTTGTTTGCAAATTGCCTTGATCCAGAGAGGTTCATAGCTAAAAGCGAGAGGGGAGAAGGCGTAGTTGGTGCAGGTTTGTGGTGTTCAGAGCAGGGCCTTTCCATTGACCACCTCTGTTCCAACTCCCGTCAGTATTGTCCGGAAGAGCATTTGCAAGTGAAATTCTAGTGGATTACAAAAGAATCCCCATGCAATCGTCTGTAATCGTAGTGCCATTTCATCGACTTACACGTCTAGAGAAGTGAGATCTTTCCTAACACTCTGAGCCATCTTTTCTCCGACAAACCAGTGTCGTTCTCATGGGTTTATTTTAGCTTTGGTTAGAGTTGGCTGGATTTTATTCTTCCAGGATTGCTTTAATTTGAAACGAGGAATAGGGCAGCCTTTCCATGACACCTTTTGTTCGTTTCAAATGTGTCAGGTATTAACTTGATCTCATATTTTTTGTAGCGATCATCTTTAAAGCACTTCAATAACTTAGTTAATGGAATAGTTAAAAAAAATTCTTTAGTGCTAATTCCTTCAGAATCTCCTTTTGTTAATTTTATTAATTTTGGAACCAAAGCATAAAACAAATAGGAAGATTAAAATACAATTGTAGACACTATTGTAAATGAGACAGTCTTTTTGCCTTATAGGTTGTATCTTCGATTAACAATAAGACAGAGAGAGATTGAGGGAGTCGGCATTCAGGGATGGACTCATGTCTCCTGTGGAACTTGAGCAAATTCTTATTTAACTTTCCCTTTAGGGAAAGGACCAGGAAAAAAGAGAGGCCCAACAATCAAGATCTCTGGGGTGCAGGTGAACGTGAAATCCATTATCCAACATGAAGAGGAGTTTGAGATGCTGCATAAATCCATCCCTGTGGACCCTGAAGAAAAAAAAAAGTGAGTGTGTTATGTGCACATGCTTGGGTGGTCGTGCTGTAGGACGGTAGACTGGAAGTTAGTTATGTGTAGTTATGTAGTGTTTTCGTTGTCTTCTCTTTTTTTATTTTTTATTTTATTTATTTTTTATATTTTATTGATTTTTTACAGAGAGGAAGGGAGAGGGGGAGGAACATCGATGAGAGAGAAACATCGATCAGCTGCCTCCTGCACAACTCCTACTGGGGATGTGCCCGCAACCAAGGTACATGCCCTTGACCGGAATCGAACCTGGGACCTTTCAGTCTGCAGGCTGACGCTTTATCCACTGAGCCAAACCTGTTAGGGCTCTTTTATTTTTTTTATTTTTAGCCGATGCTCTATCCATTGAGCCAAACCTGTTAGGGCTCTTTTTTTAATTTTTAGTGATTTCCGAGAGGAAGGAAGAAGGGAGAGAGAGAGAAACATTAGTGATGAGAGAGAATCATTGATAGGCTGCCTCCTGCACGCCCCCTACTGGGGATGGAGCCTGCAACCTGGGCATGTGTTCTGAATCGAACCTTGACCTCCTGGTTCGTAGGTCAATGCCCAACCACTGAGCCACACCGGCCAGGCTCGTTGTTTCTTTATCGTAGTAGAATACTTTGTGTTCATTTCCAAATCAGAGAGGCCTCGCCTCTGACGTCCTCCTCTTTTTGAAACCCCTGTAGGTACTGCTTAACCTGCCGTGTCAAAGCTGCGCATTTCGATGTGGAGTGGGGAGTGGAGGATGACTCCCGCCTCCTGCTGGGGATCTACGAGCACGGCTATGGGAACTGGGAGCTAATTAAAACGGATCCGGAGCTGAAGCTAACGGACAAAGTAAGTAACTCTGTGACGCCGGAGATTTCTAGAAGATTTCTTGCGTAATACTTCTATATTCATTACTTATTTTTAACTATTTTCCGGAGGGGTGGGGCGGGGATCAACTGGGAAATTAGCACAACAGCAACTTCCTGGGATTTCTTTATCCTTGGAAATGGTACCATATCTTTAGTGGACTATGACACTGTGTCATGGACGAAGGTGATAGCCAGGTAAAAATTTTGGGGGAATTATAAGAGAAATCTTAAAGTTCTGATTTTTATTATAGGTCAGTCTCATTGCAACAAAATACCAGGGTAAGGTTCTTAATAATAAAAGCATCACTCCGCCTTAGTTGCTGGCCCTTTGTTTGCCATTGTATTGGAAACAACCGTATTTCTATTCCATACACAAGGAGTGAGCCACCTTGGTGTTTTTTGTAATGGAATTCAACATTGGCCGTACTTCTCCCACAAAATCGAGCCTCCCACCCTGTCCGTCGCAAAGCGGGCTCCCAGCAGTCAGGCCGTGCTCAGTTGTAAGCAGGGGGAGCTGACTGGCTCCATTTCGGGAGGATGTGCCCCAGGTGGTGCTCCCGGCACGTCGAACAATGCTCATCCCACACGCGGGGCCCTGAGCGGGTGACAGCACCCTGCCGTTAGCGCAGACCAAATCCACTGTGGCCTGAGAGGTCCGACCGTGGTCACAGGGCCAGCTCCTGTCCGGGCACAGCTCCGTGCTCTCCGGCCATGCTCTAAGAAGCATTTTCAATCTAAAACGAAGCTTTAACCTAGCTCCAGGGATTCCCTGCTCCTGGAAGGAGGAAATCCGCGACGGCTGGGATGTTCTAGCAGATGAAGCCAACAAGCCCCTCCTACCTGAGTTGTTCTACCCTGTTAACAGCACAGGTAGGAGCCAGTGGGAGAGCTGGATTTCTCATCCCATTTTGTAAAACGAGAACGGCTCATGAGGGATTGGCAGTGACTGGGAGCCATGGACATGAGATAGGAGCTGAGGCTGTGTCTGTATTCCGGGCGGGCGGGGCGGGAAAGGACTGCTCAGTTCTCGGCTGTCTCCGTTGACCCTGATCCACTAACCGGGACGCGGGTGGTGGCGGGTGCTTCTCTCCCTTTGCTGTTGAAGATCCTGCCCGTGGAGACCGATAAGAAGCCCCAGGGGAAGCAGCTGCAGACCCGAGCCGACTACCTGCTGAAGTTGCTCAGGAAGAGCCTGGAGAAGAAGGGGGCCGTGGCGGGCGGGGAAGAGGTGAGTGCGGCTGCCGCTGGGCAGCTTCGGGGCTCTGAGGCTCCAGCCCTGCAGGTTAGGAAGAAGGGGGCCGTGGCGGGCGGGGAAGAGGTGAGTGCTCTGAGGTTAGAGGGGGCAGGTGCCCCCTGCGGCCGCCGCCCAGATGGAACCTCTCCAGTCAGGTGCTTTTTTTCTTTTTTCAAATAAGTTCTTACTGATTTCAGAGAGAGGAAAGGAGAGAGAGAGAGAAACATCAACGATGAGAGAGAACCATGGATCAGCTGCCTCTTGCACGCCCCCTACACGGGATGGAGCCTGCATCCAGGCCTGTGCCCTGACCGGGAATTGAACCGTGACCTCCTGGCTCATAGGTCGACGCTCAACCACTGAGCCACACCGGCCGGGGTCAGGTGCTGCTTTTGAGGTCCGAGTAGTGATGGTTGGTTGGTAGTACTGGGAGTGTTCATTTAATTACTGACCTAAGCTAAGCATCTTGGCAGCTTGCTTACAATATGGCCTCGGTTGGTTGGTAGTACTGGGAGTGTTCATTTAATTACTCACCTAAGCATCTTGGCAGCTTGCTCACAATATGGCCTTAAGAGTCCCCATCGCTCTCAGTGCCACCTGGTTCAGACATACTGCTGTTTCTTTATGCCGCTGCCTGGATTTTGGAACATTCCAGTAACTGTCTAAATACTACCGGGTTTGCCTGTAGTTACTCCTAACTCAGGGCTGCTTGTCATACTGGCCCAGGGATAAAATGGGTCATTGGAATCCACAGTTAATCCAACAGTGGGACTTCCATTAGGATTGCCTTACCTGCTCAGCGAAAAAGACCGAGTGAGTTACTAGTGACTCATCTGCGCTGTGTCTTCTTTCATTTTCCCAACTTTCCGTTTCAATGCAGACCTAGAAAGATGGCAGGCACAGTTAGAAGATGATAAGTTACATCCGGTACTAGCAGCCTATGTGTGTGCTCCTTCAGTGCTCCTAGAGCTACGTCATTGGTGTTAACGTCCCTGTCTTACAAACAAAATGAATTTTAGGGGAAAAAGTTATCCCAACCCCATGCCTTGTCCTTTTTCATGTAATAGTATCACATAAGTAGTGTCATTCTCCAGGTAATATGTTGAGTGTATACTGTCAGTTACGCTCTAGAGAGAGAGAGATTAAGAACATGTTTATACTCGAATTAGATTTGATTGAGTAGATAAACACCTTTTCCTTATTTTTAGATACCGTGTGCTTCTGGGTGTGTTTTTATTTATTTATTTATTTACTTATTTATTTATTGATTTCAGAGAGGGAAAGGTGAGGGAGAGAGAGATAGAAACATCATTGATGAGAGAGAATCATTGATTGGTTGCCTCCTGCATGCCCCCTACTGGGGATCGAGCCTGCAACCGTGGCATATGCTCCGACTGGGAATCTAACTGAACCGTGACCTCAAGGTTCATAGGTCAACGACCCCCAACCACGGAACCAGCTGACCGGGTCCTGGTTTTTTCTTTTAATGTTATATTACTGTCTTTTGCGAGTTATCTTTATACATAAGGTGTTTTTCCTTCATTTGAATTATATCTTTAGGATGAATTCCAAAAAATGGACTCTGTAGGCTCAAGGCGATGGGTGTTTTTCTGTGGCGTAGGCTGTGTGTGAGGCCTCCAGCAATGCTGGTTGCGCCCCTTTGAATTTCTCCTTTGACTTATGCGGCTGCTGCTGTTTCAAAGACTCATCCGTGGTACTTGGCCGTGCTGGTGAGGGTCTCGGTTTGCCGTGTTGTCATCCTTCCTCTCCGTCTCCAGGCCAAGTTAAAGAAGCGGAAGCCTCGAGTCAAGAAGGAGAACAAAGCGCCCAGGCTGAAAGATGAGCGGGGGCTCGACTTCTCGTCCCCCAGGCACTCCGACAACCCATCCGAGGAGGGGGAAGTGAAGGTGAGGCTGCCCCTCCTCGCGGGGCTGGTTCTCAGGCTGCACTTGCTGTGCGGGTGGCACAGAACCATTCAGATCAAGTAGAATATGTATGACTTTTCCTAACCGGAGAGGGAATGTCGCTGTTCCTTTAAGTCGGCGACTGCACCTTCACAGATAATGGACGTGACTGGAGAGAGCCAAGGGGGTCTCAATGCTAAGTGGCAGCTGACACTCCGACTCACTGTTGGGGCGATAGGCAGTGGTGGGGACATACCAGGAGCTCCCGGCAAGGGGCAGCCGCTGGGCCCTCAGTGTGTCGCTGGGCCAAACGAAACTCACCTGTGGGTCGGGATTGGCCCAAGGCGGCCAATTTGTAACCTCTGGTCTAAGCCAAGTGGAACGTAAACCAGCTTCCTGGAGGGAGTGGCAGCGTTCCGGGATTTTATTTTGTTCCTCTCGGAAATTCTGCTTTGAGATGAGCTCCAAGACGGTGAGCAGTGGGTCCGGGACTAGATGGGTTTGAGTCACGCAAACACGAATTCAAGTACAGAACTCTCACAGATCACTAGCTGACAGCTTTCTAACCGCGGGTCCTCGGTGTTGTCTGTCTGTGAAATTCGAATGATTATGCCTGTGTTGAAGGGTTGCTGTGAGAATTAAAGAGACCATAGATGTAAAGCCCCTGCTGGCTTACCTGGGCATCCCCAGAGTTTAGGATTGTGTGCGTGCTTGCAGGCTGTGTGCTGGAGAACACGCGTGTAGGTGCCGTGGGGAGCCACAGGGGGTAGTGCTGCCTTCCCCAGGAAGCGAATGAGTCCATGGAAAGCTAGTGGCCTTACCCATAGCCCTGCTTGTGTTCTAGGATGATGGCTTAGAAAAAAGTCCCATGAAAAAGAAACAGAAGAAGAAGGAGAACAAGGAGAACAAGGAGAAACAGATGGGTTCCAGGAAAGACAAAGACGGGGACAAGGAAAGGAAGAAGTCGAAAGACAAGAAGGAGAAGGTACCTGCGTCATTCTCCTTCCTGAGCTACCCGTAGCCTCTGACGTTCCGTCTAGGATTTAGAAACAGAACAGGGTTGAGGGCCCTGAAATCACCATCTCTTTAAGGCTACATCCAAGAAGGAAGGGGCGGAGCTGTCAGCGTGAGGCCTGCACCTCTGCCTGCAGAGAGAAGGGAGCGTGAGGTTTGGGCAGTTCTCTCAGACAGAAGGCCTTGCTTGCAGTGTTTTTACATGTTTCAGAGGGGCAGTGTGAGTGAGATAGGACCGGTGAGAGAAATCTGCATTTACAGGGAACTGCTTAAGGCACTTTTCACATTCATGATAGAAGAGCACAATCCACAGATGAATTTGAAGGGTTCAGGATTCAACCCAAATACCATCAAGAGTTAAGCTTTTGGAATAGAATTGGGTGAAAAGCCCTGCTATTATATAACCTCCCTTTGGGGGTTTTATGAAACTCATTCCAAGCCTCAGAGTTCTGGTACAGGGTTGCATGTATGCTTGCTGACTTCTAATGAAGTTACTATGCAATTAGTCCCTAGTC